TGAGAGTGCAATCTGAAATCTCTGAAGGCTTCATCTGGAGACAGCCGAGCTGGGTAGATGGGGGAAAGGGTACAACAGCCCTAAATGATTTTTATCTTTATAAGGAAAGAGCATTGAGTACTGCCTTTGGTCTACAATCCTCACCTTTATGCAAATATGCTCTGCCTAGCTACAGTTTTTATTTATTTGATTTTGATCTTAAGTGGTGGCTTTCCTCCTTGGTAGATCTGATTGTCATAGTTCATCTGCACAGCTTGAAATCCTGGGAAAGTGATCGGCCTCAAAGCAAAGCTCACCGAGTCCAGATCTCAATGTTCAGCCTTTCAAGTTCAAACCTGCACATTCTTTTCCAGCCTGCATCTGAAGCAAGCGTGTGGGACCTGACCAAGTTCATGGAATGCAGAAGTTTTTGGCAAAAAGAAATCTGTCAGGGCCCCAGGCCAAAGCCTAGCTGTGGGATCCATAGCCTTGGCCCTAAGCTGCTCAGGAAGATTCCGATGGAAAGATGGTCCTTTTTATCACTAAGGCCAACCTTCTTCCATGTACCTTTGACCCTTCTTGTGTCTTCTGACATATTAACACCACAAGCATCCTCTCTAAACTCCAATCTCCCCTGGCAGCCTTTAACCACCCCCTTATCTCCCCTGTCCTTAAAAAAACAAACCAACCCTCCTTTGTCTCTGTCATCCCCTCAAGCTAGCATCCTATATCTCTTCTCCCTTTCTCATCCAAATTCCTAGAAAAAGTGATTTATGTCCAGGGTCTTCATTTCCTCTCCTTTCACTCTCTTCCCAACCTCTTGGAGTCTGGCTTCCAACCTCATCATTCACCTAAAACTTCTTTCTCCAAAGTAGCTACTGATCTCTTACTTGCCTATTTTAATTCCTTTTCTCAATCCTTATCCTTCTTGACCTCTCTGCAGACTTTGACACCCTCCTCTGGGTTTTCATTATGCTGCTCTGTCTTGGTTTTAATCCTTCCTGTCTGACCGCTCCCCATTATTTATGTCCCACTCTCTTTCTTACTATGGGTGTAGCTCAAGGATCTGTCCCCAGCTCTCTTCTCTCTCTAGGTGACCTCATCAAATTCCATCTTTCCATGAAAGCCATATGTTCCAGAAGATCACCTGCATGCTAATGACTCCCACATCTGTATATCCAAGCCTTGATCTCTCTCCTGAGCTATAGTTCCACATCACCAGCTTCCCATCAGGTATTTTGAACAGCATATGCCATCACTCCCCTTTGTCTGTTGTCTCCCTCATTGGAATGTAAGCTCCTTGAGGGCAGAAACTCTTTGCTTTTCATTCCTATAGCTCCATAATTTAGCACAGTAATTTGCACATAGTAAGCATTTAATAATTTTTTTCTTTGTTCATTTATTCATTCATCTCAGCTATGTCCAAATTGGATCTCATTATTCTGACTTCTTGTCCAAATTTCCTTATTTTCATCAAGGGTACCACCATTTTCCAGTCACCTAGTCTCACAACCATAGAGTCAGCCTCAACTCCTCTGTTTGTTATTTAAAGCCCTTTGTAACCTGGCCTCAACCTACTTTTCCAGGCTTATTATGTGTAACCTTCCTTCATACTCCTTAACAATCCTGTAGCCAAACTGGTCTTATAGCTGTTCCCCACATGACATTCCATTTCTTCCATGCATACCTTTGTAAGAGCTATCTCCATCACCTCAACTGTTTTCCTTGTCTTCTTGGAATTCCTAGCTGTCTTCAAGGCTCAACTCAAGCACCACTTCCTAGACATTCCTGACCCACCCACCCAGCCTTCCTTAAGTTGTTAGTGCTTCTACCCTCACTCCTAAATTAGCTTACATTTCCTTTGCATGTAGTTTGCATTTGTTTATTTGCATAGAGTGGATCGTGGGAGCATAGATTCAGGGTTGGAAGGGACCACAGAAGGCATCTAGTCTTAACACCCTTTTTTGGAGAGAACTGGACCAAACAGTTCCTGCCCTTCAAAGATGTACACTCTAAGATTGGATTTCCATGGTGATTCCCTGTTTGACTCCAAGCAAGTCACTTGGCCTCTCTCTTTCTCAGTTTGCCTCTTGAGAATCCACCTTGTCCTACCTCATGGGCACTGTTAGATTTTAATGAATTAATTAATCTAAGGACACTTTGAAAATTATAAAGCTATATTCAAATATAAGGGATTTATTACAACACCAAAATATCTGAAGTGAAAAATAGTCATTTGTTTCTAAAAATTCAGTTATTTTGTATCATGAAGATAAAACCTCTGAGGTGAACAATTAGAATTTTCACTGGGGGGAAGGGGAGATTCAGATTCCAAGTAGATTCAGCTTAACGAAGACAAGTCATGTCTATAAGTGAGAAGAATTGGACATAGAAAAAAATAAAGCTAAGTCACTTAACCCTGATTGCCTTTCCAAAAAGCAAAAAAAACAAAAAAAGAAGAAGAAGAAGGAAAGAAAGAAAAGGAAAAAAGAAAGCTGCCCTTTGAAGAGAAAAGGCTAGTATAGGGGGCTGGGGAAGGCAGGAAGGTATAAATATTGATAATTTTACAGTCCTTTGTCTTATATATTTGTGGTGCCTGGAAAACACTCTCCTCTATCTTATAGGGAAGCTCCCTCAGAGGATAGCCACCCTAGCTTTAAAGAAGGAAGGAAGGAAACAAGTGTACACAAGTGCACCACTTAGTTGTCTCTGTGTACTCACAAAGGTAGTTTGTGAGCATACATCCACTCAAACCAGGAGCCCCTACTTATGTGTTTACCTTTAATAGCCAAAGGATAAATTTAGTTCAAAGCAAAGGCATTTAATGAAGATGGCATAAAGTAATAATAAAACACTTGTCCCATTAACCTGGGGCATACTCTCCCACCTAAACACACAACATTGGTGGGAAGAGGGAACATGGATGGTAAAGCATAGCCATAGAGAACATGTGGCCTAGATATATACTTAAAGAGGCATGCATGCATAGGGAACCTCTTGTGGCCATTGGCCATGCACAGTGGGGCAAGTCACCCTCCTGACACTGCAGAATTGCTGATATTTTTTCCGATGATGTCACTGCGTTGCTCTCACTGGGCTTGCTCCCTGCTGGTCTCCACTGGACACTATTCTATTGGATGCTGTTCCACTGGACACACAGTCTATGCCAGACACTACAGACTCATCTCTGCTGGACGCTACTTTGTTGGACGAATAATCTGTGCTGATTGCTGCCCTACTTCCAACTTTTGGCTTCAGCCAGTAGTCTTTGGCTACAGGACTATGTCTCTAACATGCTCTTTTAGTTCAAAGCCAGAGGCTTTTTATAGCCCTTTATAAAAATCAGTCACCCCCAGCACGGACCATCAGAAAGTCTTCCCTATGAAAAAAAAAATCTTTTTTTTTTTTCCTTTAAAGAGTGAACTGCCTTCTGAGTCTTAGACAGGAAGTCTCTTGTCTCCCTAGCGGGTGTATCTCAGATTCTAGCGTCAAACCCTTTAGAACAACTCTGCTCGGCACCCTTACTGATGTGTTTACTTTTAATAGCCAAAGGATGCATTTAGTTCAAAGCAAAGGCATTTAATGAAAATGGCACAATAAGAAAAGTAATAATAAGACATTTGCCCCATAAACCTGGGGTACACTCTCCCACCTATACACACGACATTGGTAGGAAGAGGAAACATGGACAGTAAGGCATAAGACATAGAGCACAGTCAATCTCTCTTTCCTTTGAACTAAACTTTCTGGTCCGTGGGCTTGAAGTCTCTACGGGCTATCTCACTACATTTTCTGTGCCTCCTGATTTTAACCTTTGAAAGCTAGATTATAAACTATGTAAGGACTATTTGCCCAATACCAAATGACTCAGGGTTTCTTTTTTTCTTTTCTTTTTTATTATGAACTTAAATCAATAAGCACAAACGTTTTAGTATTTAAAAAAGGACTGTGTATGTAACTATGAACTTCTGTTATCTACAGATTTTTTTTAAAGTTTTGAAAATTTTTTTTAAAAAATGTACAGATTAAAAAAAATTAAAACTGAATACAGTGCTAACAGTTATCATTTTTTGAATTTCTTTTGTTTCTTTTAAAAGTTTCAGTGATGCTCTTCTTTTTGCATTTCTATCACTATCCACTAACTCACCCCATCTAAATAGAAGCTCTCCCTTAACAAATAAGTTAAATAAAACAAATCCACACATTGGCAGTCTCTAAAAATGTAAGTCTCATTCTGCACCTGCACTCTATCCCCTCTCTGTCTAGAGATCATACGCATGCTTCATTATTAGTCTTCTGAAATTATGATTGGTCATTAAATTGAGAAGAGTTTGTCTTTAGATTCTTGTGGTCATTCTCTAAGTTGTTCTCTTGGTTCTGCTTACATCACTTTGCATTAGTTCATCTAAATCTTCTCGGGTTTCTCAGAGTTTGTCACATTTGTCATAGCATGTGGTGCAAAATTTTTCCATTACATTCATATGCTACAATTTGTTCAGTCGTTCCCCGACTGATGGGCGCTCGCTTTGTTTTTGGTTCCTTATTACTATAAAAAGTGCTGCTGTGACTTTTTTTGAACATGTGGATTCTTTCCTTCTATGTTTGAACTCTTTGGGGTATATGACAAGTAATAGTATTGCTTGATCAAATTCCCCAGTTTTCTAACCCTAAGCGTCTTCTGTGCTCCCATATAGATGGGGGGGGGCCGGACGGGGAGTGTGCTTGTGCACGCAAACACACACGTACAGACACATACAGCCACGGAGCTAAATTCAAGGGGCAAGGTCGTGGTCTCCCATATCTGCTGATCTACACTCCTGGTCTTTCATTTGCAGATATAACCAGCTAAAGCTGAGAGGGCTTTGAGCTCACCCTTATATCTTAAAATCTTATTAAGTCCATGAATCTGCCCTAGTATTTGACCTGATTCTTTTGTTTGCTTCAGTGCCTGTTGACTTGTCTGCCCAGCTGTGTGATTCCAGCTTGGATTTACCAATGTTGTTTTGTTTGGTTTTTGGCAGGGTCGCCACGTGAAGACTGGACAGTTAGCAGCCGTCAAAGTCATGAGTGTTTCAGAGGTGAGTATGAGTTTCTTTTTTTTTTTTGGTGGGGGAGGGTGAGGCAATTGAGGTTAAATGACTCATCCAGGGTCACACAGCTAGTAAGTGTCAAGTGTCTGAGGCTGGATTTGAACTTGGTCCTTCTGACTCCATGGCCAGAGCTCTATCCATTGTGCCACCTAGCTGCATGAGTGTGAGTTTTTTTTTGTACCACCTGAGTGGACTGAGTTCTTGGTGTTGGCCACAAATGAATGGAGGTAGTATGTAGTACCAGGAGAAAGAGCAGGAGCTTGGGATGAGAAGAGTCTGAATCCTGATTGTGCTAGTCACTTTCCTTCTCTTATCTTCAGTTTCCTCCTCTGTAAAATCAATTTTGTGCAAAATTTGGTGAAACCTGTTGTTTAAGGTCATGTGAAATGAAAAACCGATTATTTGAATTTTTCATTTTTAACCAATAATATTGATATTTTATAGGTATAACCTAAAAATAGACCCCAGACTTGTGTATACTTAGAGTATTCTCAGTTATCCTTCTTTTTACCCTTTGCCCCAAAGGCCAAATTTCTCCTAGTTAATAAATTATATATCTGTGTGTGATATATATACATATATATATATATATATATATATGTATATATATACATATATATACATATATATATACACACACACCACACACACACTCATAATATATATATATATATATATATATATATATATATATATATATATATATATGTAAATTGAATAACTAGTAACATAACAAGCTGTCAAATAAACATATAAAACAAGGGGCAAATGTTTACTTCAAACCCTGAGGCTTTAACTATTCTAGTTTCTTAAAATTAAAATTCCATAGAAAACACATGCAGCAGATAGGGGGTGCATTCTCCATATTTCATTAGTCTGTGATAACGACCGCAAGCTCTCTGCAAGTCCACTTTTAATTGATTCTCTGCTCTCAGAGATAGTAAATGGAAGATTTCCTGCAGCCATGCTGCCCACCCCCTGTTTCCTCTTGTCTTTTTCCTCTTTTCTGCCTCAGGACAGGGACTACTGTCTTCTCAGTCCTGTTTGAGCTGTAAATTTTGCATGCAGCTGCTGACAGGTGAGCAAGTGGGACAGTTGAATTGGCAGTGCTGTTCCCGCTGACATGAATAAAATGGTGTCATAGTTCATGATGTGGTGTCTCAGATGTTGCTAGGCACTGAGTTCTTGGCCCATCTGTGATCCAGAGTGGTGTGAGTAACTTCACCTTCCTAAGATATTATGAGCATGAACATTGCAAAGGTCAGATTGGCTCCCGTGGGCCCTGAAGGAAAAATTTTCAACTAACCTATTTGTTGAAAAGATACCTATTTCCCCAAATTGTTATCAGTTGAATCAAGTAGTCTTTCTCCAGTTTGTTCAGAGAATGATTGTGAAGGTAGTATTTAGAAAACTGGGTGCTTTTAATTTGGCCAGTGGGTAGTATTTCAGTTCTCTTCCAGCAGAAGGGATTTTTGTTCACCTGTATCACTTCTGCCACTAATTACCTATATGACCTTGGGCAAATCACTTAACCTCTCTGGGCCCCAGTAATAGCACATGTAAAATGAAGGGATTGAACCAGCTGTCCTCTGAGGTGATAGCAGCATCAGTATAGGGCTAGAAGTGACCTCAGAGGCCATCCAGTCCAACCCCTTCATTGTAGAGATGAGGCAACTGGGGCTCAAAGAGGGGAAGAGGAGGGCTAAATTCATACAGGTAATAAGTGGCAGAAGTGGGATTTGAACCTAGGTCTTCTGACTCCAGATCTGCAGTAGTTAATAAACACTTATCAAGTTCCTACTGTGTGCTATATACTTTACTAAGCACTGAGGATACAAATAGAAAACAAGAAACGCATTACCCTCAAGGAGCTTACAATCTAATGGGGGAAGACAACCCATAAAAGGTAGCTGAAAAAGGGGGCAGGAAGGTACTCTTCCAGAGAAGTCTCAGAGTAGAGCAGCCAAGTGAGGAGATGTTCTGGGCCCAAGCTCCTTCCTTAAATGAAGGCTTTGGAGTTCATGGCCCCATGGGGCAAAGGTTAGTGAGGAGGTGGAACACCAAGGCTTATGGGATCTTGAGGATCAAGTCTGCCCAGTAATGAGCTTCCTGGGGGCACAGTTAAGAAGTCAGCAAAGTGCCCCAGCCAGGGGAGAAATGAGTGTCTATCCACATTACCAAGTCCATCCCAACTAGGCCATTCTTGGATTCTTTGTGTTTCCAGATCAAAACTAAGTCACTCAGGTTTACAACCTCAGAGTCAGCCCCGACTCATCACTCTCCCTCATTTCCCAGATCCAGTCAGTTATCAAGTCTTGATGATTTTACCTCCTCAGCTACCACTCTAGTTCATGCTCCCATCACCTCCAGCCTGAACTACTGCAATGTCCTCCTAACTGGTTTCCCTACATCCTGTCTCTACCCACTCTGATCCAGCTTCCACATGGCCAAAAGTGATATTCTTGAAGCACAAATCATTCCACTGCTCCAGAAGCTTTGTGACTTCTATTACCTTTGGGATCCCAAAATATACCTTTGGGTCCCTGTTACCTTTGGAATCAAACACAAATTCCTTTATTTGGCCTTTAAAGCCCTTCCCAGTCTCACTGTACCCTACCTTGCCAGGCTGGTTGCACATTATTCCTCTTCATTCACTGTGTTCCAAGTGACCCCCGAATACAACATTCCATCTCTTTCCTCTATACCAGTGATGTCAAATGCAAATAGAAATGGGGCCACTAATCTGAATGGAGGAATCCCTGCAGGTGGCACTTTATACTTTTGAATTTGGTGTCCCCTGAGCTTGGAATGCACTTAGAACCCCTGGCTTCCTTCAAAGCTGGGCTCAGGTCCCACCTCCTACTGGAAGCCCTTTGGGATTACTTCAGGTGTTGGTGTTTTCTTCCCACCCCCAAGTTACTTTGCACTTCCTTTGTATGTATTTTGTATTTCTTTACTTATGTGTATATTGTTTCTCTCCCCTCCCCCATAGAGTGTAAGTTCCTTGAGGGCAGGTACTATTTTGGTTTTGTCTCTGTATCCCTAATACCTGGCACAGAGTCTGGCACACAGTAGGCACTTAACAAATTGAATGGATTTGGAGGCAACAGCTTTGAATGTGGGTTTAGATCCCAGCTCTGCCACTTATTAGCTAGATTTCACCTTCTCCTTTCTGTGCCTCAATTTCCTCATCCATAAAATGAAGAGATGGGACAAGATGGTACCTATTTCCAGCTTGAAATCTTAGGATCTGAGGAAAAGCTTTCTCACCTCCTGAGAGACCTTGAACTAAATTTCATCTAAGGGACAGTGAGACCTTGGGAATGTGTAACCCATGGATGATTAGTGTCAGTTGTCTACATTGGAAAAGAAAAAAAAAAGGGCAGATTTTACTAACATCAAACTGTGTTTTTCTAGTTAGAGTAGCAGTTAAATCTATTACTATGAATTGGGTGCCAGGTTTCTGTATATATAGGCATCTGGTCATTTTCATTAGGACTATTAGTTTGAATTGAGAATAATATCATTCTGCTCTCTGACTGAATGTTCTGTCCCAAGACCATGAATCATTTTCATCATGTCCCAGTAGGGACAGGGAAACTTTTGATGTCAGCTTTATAAATTTGAAGATCTTAGTCCCATTAAAGGTATAGTGGATAGAGTAATGGACCTGGAGTTAGGCTCAGGTTCCAATCCTACCTCAGACACTTACTTACTAGCTGTGTGACTCTAGGCAATTCACTTAAACTCTTTGGGCCTCCGTTTCCCTCTCTGTAAAATGAGGCAGTTAGACTTGCTGCTGTATGAAGGTACTTCCAGCTCTAGATCTAGAACCCTAAGAAGTGATTTTCCAGCATGAGTTTGTGGGTGGAAAAAGACAGGCCTTTCTCAGGACTCAAGTTCACAGGTAGTCCTAGGAAAGACACCAGGAGCAGCTGTCTCAGGAGTATAACCTAAGGAACCCTAGAAGCCACCTCTTGTGGCTTGAAATAGAAATAGAAAACACAAGCCTCCACCTTCAAAGAGCTTCCACTCTTACTGGGCAGGGACTTTGGCAGCCATCTAGTACAGCTCCCTCATTTTACAGAGAAGGAAACTGAAGCCCAGAAAGGTTAAGTGATTTGACCAGGGTCCTATGTAGGATCCTAGATCTTGAGGACCCTCATAGGGTTGTTGTGACGATCACAGAGATAACATATTTGTAGTGTTTTGCAAACCTTAAGATGTTATATAAATGTGGGCCATTATTACTATTTGAGCTGGAAGGGAACTCAGGGGCCAGCTAGTTCACCCCCCCCCTCATTTTACAGAGAGGGAAACTGAGGCCCAAGAAGGGGGAGGGACTGGCCCAGGGTCACCTAAAGGGTCACAGTATCATATGGATCAAGAGCTGGAAGGCGACCCACACAGATACTAAGTATCAGAAGCAGGATTTGGATCCAGGTCGACTGCCTCCAGAGCCAGGCAGGGCTCTTTCCATTGTATGGTGCTGCTCTCCATGAAATAATTAGAGACCAGATGAAAACAGTATATGATCAAATTTATCAGACTGTGTGGTACAGGGTGAAGAGAAAAATCCATTTCAATCAATCCACTTCTTTTTGATTCAAGAAACCGTTATTATGTGCTGGGCACTGTGGTAGGCACTGGGAATACACAGATAAAGATCAAAAGCCCTCTCTCATTTAATTTGGTTTATTTTTGTCATTAGTTTTTCTGAGACTTTCTCCTGTCCCTTATCCCTACCTCCTGCCTGCCCCCAAAGCCTACCCAAACCACTCTCCCGAGTTGGTTTTGGTGCTGGGGTTATGTGCAATGGCAGGGGTGGGGGAGGTGTCCAGTTTCTTTGCCTCTAAGTATGTCCTCAGGGGGCAGCTAGTTGGTGCTGTGGATAGAGTACTGGGCCTGGAATCAAGAAGACTTTATCTTCCCGATACTTAGTAGCTGTGTGACCCCGGGCAAGTCACTTACCCTGTTTGCCTTGGTTT